GTAAATGGTGTTTTTGTTAATGGTACCTTATCCACTGCTCTCAAAATAGCAGCCAAGTCAGATTCTGACATCATCTTCTTGTAACGAAAAGATTGACTCGGTTCCGCAGAAGCAACAAACAGGGCATCATAAGAAGTGGTGGCAGGAGCATCCCGCTCAACCTGTTCAACAGAATGGAAAGAACCATCCACAGGAGCAACCGGTGCAGAAGGAGGAGGAAAACGAAAGCGACTTGCCCGGAGTCTATCGCCAAAACCGGTCACAAAGATGCTATATTCTGCTGCATCATTGATCTGCCTTATTGCAACAAACTTCCCAAGACGGTAGGCTCGCTTAACATCTTCAGATGCCTCTATCGGGATAGCTGCCTCAGTAAGCTTATCAAGTAAGGCAGGGAAGACGATCGAGGAGTATAGCATAAAAGCATTGATGGGCTTCATGGCAAAATCTGAATCAGACGGAGAGCCAACAACCAAAGTTATAGCACGCTTCAATCCGCTTCTCAGTAAAGTTTCCAACTCCTCAACCGTAGGAAAGGAATCCTTCTCCTTCTTAAGCTCAGATACCAAACGTAGAACCAACCAGTCTTCAAGTTTCACAAGATTAAAGGGCACGCTCTTAAAGTAAACTTTATCCAAAATACTTTCTGCGAGCTGCAGGAAGACTTCATCGAAGAGCGCCATGTTAGGATTAGATAACTCAACAAGAGTTATAAACAAGTGGTTCTTAACTAATGATCAATACAGTAATCATAAAGTATACGCTAGGCTAGCAAGGGAGACTAGTATCACAAGAATCTAAAATTACAGAAGACACTTGTGTACAATATTTCCTCACACACTTCAAGGATGGAGGTGGCTGTCAATTACCCGACGCGGGCAAACCCCTCTCAGACGCTCATCAGACCTTCGGCCGCAGAGTGGCCGCCATTCTGTGGAAGGTAGGGCAGTCTTCGGGCTTCTCAGACGCCCTCCGCGCCGTAGAGGGAAGGCCCACCGAAGGACAGGTCTCCACCCTGGGAGCCTTGGCTGAGATTGCAGCAGCAAAGGCAAGGGAGAAACTCAAGCGCTCACTGAATCTCCCGATCGCGACGCCAGGACCGGCCAACTCCGTCGATGGGAAGCTGCCCCGCATCCTGGTGGAAAATTAGGTGTCGACGACCGTGACATCGGGAATCTCTGCGAAGAGGGTCTGCTAATCGGCATTTTGCGAGAGATCGTCCCGTGTCCCATCTTCCCCAGATACAACAAAAAAATGCACCTCCCCTTCCCGTCCAAAACAATCGGCGACGGCTTCAAGAACTACCCATCCATGAGAGATCCTACTGTCATCGATACTGTTGAGGAGACGTTGCGCAAAGAGGAGGCCCAAGGCTTCATCAGGAAACTGAACGAGGGGGGGATCCTCGATCGCAACCGGAGCTTCGTCCCTCGAGGAGCCATCCCAAAGAAAGATGGTGGGGCGAGAGTGATCGACGACTACCTCCGGGGTAACATAAATCTTCGGGCCAGAGTTCCGAACACCAATAAGCTCCCATCCGCGACCTGTACTCGGAGATTGGTGGGTGAGCTGCAGCAGAAATACCCCGTGAGGAAGTCCGAATGACAAGTCGGAACTCACTCTACCCGAAGTCCGAGGAGCCACTGGCGAAGAGGAGCCACCGGCTCCTCTTGGAGCTGGACCTGGAGAGTGCGTACCGCTTCCTGAAGATCCACCCCGAGGAGAGACGGCACCTATCCTTCTGCCACGAAGACAGCAGCGGCGTTGCCTCCTACTTCGAAAACTGTTTAGGCTGCACGCGTGTGTGTGGAATCTTGTCCATTCGTGGCCTTTCGAGTGGACTACGCGCGTTGATCGATATTAGTAGAGCAGAAGGGCTCCGGTATGAGGGAGTCTTCTGGAAATTTTTTCTTCGGTATATGCTCCGCTCGCTTCGCTCGCTTAGCAATTAGCCACAATTTCGGGGACTCGATTGCGTTCAGTCGAGAACATATGGGGCAATGGGACACGCTGCGTGCCGCACGCAAACACATATTCTGATCGGACGTATCCCGGCGGCGACGACCTAAGCCGTCGCACGCATCCTCAGCACAAAGACCTTCTCAAAAGCCAGGAGCGGAACGCTGCAAGGTGAGAGACGAAGAACACAAGGTACGATCAGTTGCTGGCATATATCAGCTCCTCGTCCGAGGACGAGGGGAAAGAAGATGACAAGATTGAGTGTCCGATCAACAAGAGCCACCACGTGACATAGCAGGTGGCCGTGGAACTGCACCTACGTGCTGACCGTCTGATGATCTGCGCGCGTCAAACAAGATGGATGACAGATGCTTGTCGCGCGTTGAGGTACCACTACGACGATCTGGGCAGTCGCTCTAACAGCGATCCTGTCTG